CATGAAGTCAATTGGATTCATATAACCGGAGATACAGATTTTCAATGAGAGGGTACTTTTTTAAATATGACAATTTTTGGCACACTTAAAAAAATTCTAACTAGGAAAATAATTTTTTTTCGGTCAAATCCTGATACACGTGTTTACTTATTTTCCGAATAGTACGTGTAAAAAAAGTTTCAGGCAAATCAAAAATGTGACATTTTTTTTTTGGCCAAATCTGTTCGGTTTGTAAAAGAACGGCCCATATGTTAAATAAAAAAAAAAATTTTTTTTTGTGTGGAACCCGTTTAAAATTTTTTTTAAATCTTAACTTGTTTTTATTTTTAAGATATTAAAAACTTATTAAAAAAAATTTTTTTTTTTAAAGAAGAGGTTGTAGAGGAATTAATGCAAAAGACACGAAGTCAATTAGATTACTACAACCGAAGATACATATTGTTTGATGGAGCAGGAGCGTTTTCCTGACCCACATGAGACTAGGGAGTCGGGGGGATAGTTAAGTTAGTGAAGCAAATACAACCGTCTTGTCGCAGTACCAAAATTGAACTCTTTATTCTAACGTCGCACAGTGGGGTAACAGAGGCCAAAAGTGCGAATCAAATCAACCAAGCATGATACGATGCCCAAAAATAATAACTTATAAAATAAAACCCGGATTTACTAAAAAAATATTTTTTTTAGTATTTAAAATAAATTTTTAATTTTAGTAAAATAGACGAAAACTATGTTATTCTGTTATTTTCGTGTGTCTCAATGCATTTGCAGTAAATTTGTTTTATATTATTATTTTAGGTAATTGTTAATATCTTAAATATTAAATAAAAAAATTTCTTACGTTGTCCAACCATTTTCGATTGATATTTAGGCGCAATAAAAGTTTTTTTTCCCAAAAATTTCGGTTTTTTTTTGTGTATGTTTTTTTTATAATACTTTATTAACACTAAAATTATTAAACAGTCTTAACAATCTGTGTCCGTATCTGCATCTTCGTCCGTATCTGCACCTTCGTCTGTATCTGAATCTTCTTCTGAGGTCTTCAATAAGTCAAGAGCCTCTTTAGGTATTTTAGTGGTTTTCTCCTTGTGTAAATCCGATATAGAGGTTATTATTGATCAGAACTTATGAGTAGCCATTTAAAAACGTCTTCGTTTTGTTTTTCTCGACTGATTTTTCGAGAAAATTGCTCCCGATATTTTTTAAAATCCTTGTTTTTTGCTTCTTGCGCCTCTTCTGAAAGTTGGCCAATTGGAAGCAAAGCGTGCTCAATAATTTCTGGGCCATGAATAAAAAATTTATGCAAGGTAGGAGGCATATAATACCATGGGTATTTCTCTACAAAAAGATAAGCTGTCTGATGTGCAAACAAACGAAACTTGATAACATCTATTTCCTTGCCAGATGACACTGCAATCAATATAGTATGCATTCTTTTAATCAGTTGTAAGTCTATATTAGTTATCTTAGCAGAAAGTTCAGCGTTTTTAAAAAACCGCAACCTGGCTTGGGTTGATCCACTATAAGTCCCATCTGATTCCTAAAATCTTTTTGAATTTGAGCTTTTCTATTAGCAACAATTTTTTTAACTTCAGGGTTCCTAACTTGCCACTTCTTAATTGTCAACTTGTAGGATAGATGAAGAAGGCATTCAAAGAAACGGATCCAGCCGTGAAGAATTGATAGGCCAAATTGTAAATTTTCGGTTTTTGTGGGAACTTTAATCATATGCTCAATCTTACACACTTTACCATCTATTATTGACAGGATTGTTTCATGAGAAACTTCTATGGTTCTGTCTCCGATCTCGACAAATGAGCTTTTTAGGTGTTTAATTTCGTTAATCACTCTTTCATGTTCCTTGTTTGAAATAGCGGAATTTTCTTTGATAATTTAATTTTTATTTTTAAAGGTCGACAGAATCTAGTAGAGGAAGGTCGAGGGTTTTGCCAGATTGTTTGACCCTGACTTGATAATTTCAAGGGCGCAAGTGATGTTATAAGTACATTAGCATCTGAGGCATCAGGAGAAGCAAATGATTGCTTGTATGGTGTATGACTTGAGCTACCATCAAAACCCCACTTGCTATACAAACGAAAGAGCTTGCAATCCTCATCTGATAAAGATGGGATCATTTGCTCATTCAGTAATACCAACCTCAAAGAGGTGTGGTCAAGAAGCCCTTGTAGAGTAACCTCCGCTGAAATTTCAGTAATTTTTATTGAGTTTTCGAGTGGGTAGCAATCTCGTTTGGCATGTTGAATTGTTGTATAAGACGGAAATCTTTCTGGGGCCGAAACTCTAATAAGATTGTATTGATGTCTTGTTAGACTAGCATTTATAAAAAGTGCTAAAGCCTTTTCTTTTGGAATTTTTGTCACAGTTTTAGCATTGTCTACTAATTTTCGTAAGGATTTGGATCTTGTGGGTGATGAATTCGCAAGCTCGGCAACAAACTTAGAAGCTTCCACATTACCAGCTTCTTTTAATTTCGTTTCTGTCGCAAATGAAAGCATAGGTAAGGAGTTGCTCCTTAATTCCATAGTTTTTTTGTACTTTGAGCGAATGTTACAACTTTCAAAAGCAACTTCTTGGCGACCTCGTTTCTTTTGCGCAGCTCTTCTAAATACAATTGAAGAGTTTAGCCAATTATCATTGGCCTTCAGGAATTGGGGCGCTAACCTGCGTGACTTTTTCCACCTTAGCTGTAGCTCTCTTAGGAATCGTGTGATTTTTGTTTTACAATCGGGGATTAATTCACTGCTAGGATCTACTCGTCTCTGTATGCATTTAAATAGCAAATCCAACTGCTCTGAATCACTCAAGTGGCGTTGTTCTTTCCAGATTTTATACAGCTCGAGATGAGAGAAGAAATGCACTTTTGCGTCTTCTGCTAATATTTTTAAGAATGATACCAAAAAACGGGAAAATTTGGTTAACAATGTGTAACGTGTAACACACGTACATTGACAAACACAATCAAACCTGCGACAATTCACTCAACTACGTAGAATTTCACTAGTACACATTAAAAACATTAAACACTGTGACGGAACACATGAAGGTGGGCTACACAACTAACACAACTAACTAACACAAATAACATACCTTTTACATGTGAATCCATTGAACCAAAAGTATAATTATAAAATGTACACGAAAACAACAAGTCACCATCCGAAGGAGAAGAAAACGCAAAGAAGCTTTGTGTTTATCGATACACTGCAGCGCCATATTTTTTTATCGAAAAATTGTATTGAAAATCGAATAACAATTCTCACGATTTGGGCTGACTGTTAACCTTAAAGGTCTTTTTCCATTTTATCTAATTGTTTTATATGCATTTAGAGCCAAATTTGATTCGGATTGGTCAATTAATTCACCCACAAAAGCTAAAAGAGTAAGGGCCGGTTTCTCGAGTCCCTGTCCAAGTCCCTGATAGCTATCTGTCCGAAAAACTTAAATACCAGATAAACTGTTCGTAAAAGCAAATCGGCTTTCTCGACTGCTTTAATTTATCTGAACGAGAAACAATTACAGAGTGCTGTTAACGTACAGAATTATGCTGTGAAGCGCAAAAAATTGCGTGCTTCGATTATTTCATCAGCTGTTTGGGTATATTTCAAGGGAAAAGTCAGCTGTGATTTCGTTTCTTTTTCTTAGTTGGCTTTGGGAAATCAGCTGTCATTCTATCGAGCCGAAAACGCTTAACAAGGACTCCGAGTCCCTGTCAAAGTTAGCTCTCACATTTATGCTCGAGAAAGTCAAAATGCCTTAGCAGGGACTTTATCTGTTCGAGAAATGTTAGCCGGCACTCGAGAAACCGGCCCTAAGAGCATCTTTTTGGCTTACAAATGTGAAGATATCTCTATAACTATAAACGATAGAGGTAAAGGAACAAAAGATTCCAACTCTGCTGCCTAAAAGTTAGTAAAAGTGTTTTACTTCCTTAAAATATACTCAAGAAAGGCAAACATACTAATAAAACCATTTCTGGAAAAATTTTAATTTTTGAGGTTAGGTTACTGTTATTAACTTTTCTCAAAAAAAGCACAAAACAGCACCTCTATTTTTGCACATTTGAAAGTTTATATATCAGAGAAATTTTCAGTAAAATATGAAAACGGCGAAACCCGGCTCTTCCGAGAAATCTTGAAAGATTTCTCAGAATCAGGTTAAATTTAAGGTGTATAAAAAATATTTATTAAAAATATAATATATTAATTCTAATTTTTTGTTTTTAAATGAAAAATTAGTTAACATTTAAAAGAAAACAATGGCATTTTTTTTTTGGTACATTAAAGATTGTTAGTTTAATATTTTTTTAAAAATGAAGAAAAAGTAAAATTTGGATTGTCTTGATGAAATGTGAATCAAAGTGTAACTTTGAGAAAGGATATCTCTGGTCTTATAAAACTAAATGCGATTTTAGTTTTAGATTATGAAAGGTTATTCAATGTACCATAAACTGCCATCATTACTTTTAGAGATTTTTGAGATTTGATTTTAACATTAATTCGCAAAATCGGCCTCTGTTACCCCACTGTGCGTCGTATAATAGCCTTCGTGGCCAGTGTGGTGAATTACATGAGAGCGTGAACTAAAGCTTTACCACTGAGAGCGCAGCTCAGGTTAACAAATTAGATCAATACACTTCAAGAAGGATCAATACTTCAAAATAACATTCATGTTTATCTCGAGATTCAATAGTGGCCCAACATTCCGGCCCCATTGAAAGTACCTAGTTACTTTAAATTAATTGGTAAACGGGCCAATTTGTGAATCGGTCGCCTTATAATTCCTTTCGACGTCCGGACATCAGCGACTTGGACGTGGTTGTCCTTTCCTGGTATAGCTGCTTCGATGCGACCTAACAGCCATCGATGAGGAGGGACATGGTCTTCGTGGATTAGGACCATTTCGTTGACTGCAATATTCGAAGATCCAGTCGACCAGTTTGATTTGGCCTGAAGCTCGTGAAGATACTCCGTAGACCAGCGCCTTCAGATGTGTTGCTTGATGGCGCTGACACGATTCCATTGTTGAGAGCAGTTGAGCTGATCATCCTTGACAGGCCAGTCTGGGAGTGCTCGAAGGGAGTCCCCGGTTAAGAAATGACCAGGCGTTAAGACGGCCAAATCGCTAGGATCCGATGAGTGTGGAGAGAGCGGGCGAGAATTTAGGATTGCCTCAGTCTCAGCAGCGACAGTTGAGAGCTCCTCGAAGGTTAGTCGGGCATCCTTGAGCGTGCGGCACAAGAGATTCTTGGCGCTTTTAACAGCAGCCTCCCAGAGGCCGCCGAAGTGTGGAGCCCTAGGAGGTATAAAATGGAACTTTACAAATTCGTTTGTACAGTACGATGTAATGTCTTGCTGGTTCTTGGTGCTGAAGAAAAAGTCCTTCAGGTCTTGCAACTTGTTGCTCGCGCCTACAAAATTCGTCGCATTGTCGCAAAAAGTGTTTGAAGGCAGCCCACGTCTGGCTATCATCCGCTTTAGAGCACCCAAGAACGAATCAGTTGATAGTTCTCCGACGATTTCGATGTGCGCCGCCTTCGTGGCAAAGCACACAAATATTGCGATGTAGCTTTTAACGGGCTCCTTTCCTCGAACGCGTAGATAGGTATGAACCGGCCCGCAGAAGTCTATCCCACACCGAGCAAATGGTCTTGACAGGGTAAGTCTCTCGACTGGGAGGTTGCCCATAAGTTGTTGCAGCAACTTAGGCCTGTAGCGCACACAGTGGACACAGTTGCGTACAACACGACGAGGGACATCTCGGGCATTCACGACCCAAAACTCCAGCCGCATTAGTCCCACCAGGACCTTTGGACCAGCATGGTAGTTCCGCAGGTGTAGATGACGTACGTAGTTGACGACAGCAACATCCTTAGCGGGAAGCAATATGGGATGCTTGTGAGTGTCTGGGATCGATGCGAGTTCCAATCGTCCTCCGACGAGAAGTAGGTTGAATCCATCTGTAATCTGCAAGAAGGGCGATAAGAATTTAAGATGGCTACGAACCGGCGCTCCCCTTTGCAAAAGAGTTATTTCCTCGATGAAATATTGCTGTTGTAGGTTCCATGCGACGCAAAGCATGGCCCTTCGCAGTTCCAGAGGGGAAAGTGGTCCCGTAGTAAAGGGTTTTTCCATGTCCAGATTGCCGTGTATGTTAGGTGGCCACAATGTCGGCAGATTTGATAGAAATGTAGGTCCGTGGAACCATGTTGAGTTGGTGAGTTCTGCGAGGTTGCATCCTCTGGAGATCATGTCAGCTGGGTTATGCCGTGTCGGAACGAACCTCCAGTGACAGTCTGGCGTGAATTCTTGGATGTCGGATATCCGATTGCCGACAAACGTAGAAAGGGTCGCAGAATGTTGTCGAATCCAATGCAACACTAGCTGTGAATCTGTCCACAGAAAAGTATCGGGCGTGTGTTGTAGAAAAGCTGCCTTTATCTGGTTGTAGAGTCGTGCTAGAAGATGCGCTCCACAGAGCTCGAGCTGCGGCAGCGTCTTCTTCTTCGTTGGTGCCACACGCGACATTGAGGCGATTAGATGAACTTCCACGTGGCCATCGGCAAGCCTTGTTCCTAATGCAACATGTATCGACGACACGAACGATAGCCACGCTTGTTGGAGTGTCATTGGGACTGATTCATCCCACTGTAGTCGAAGAAGCCAAATTTCCTGTAGAAGGATTTTTGCCACCATAATAACTGGCGAGACAAGTCCCAGCGGATCGAAGAGGGATGAGGCCACCGAGAGGATGGTTCGCTTTGTGATCCTTTCCGGAGCTGTGCTGCAGTTGAATGAGAATTTGAAGACGTCTTCTCGTTGGTCCCACTTCAGTCCCAATGTGGCGTAGTCGTCGAGATTTAGCTCCTTGACCGTTGTATCATTGACGAAATCCTGGTGGTTGGAGTGCCATTTTGCCAGTTCCATCTTGCCGGCCGTGAGGATAGCGATGACTTCGGTTCGAATCTGGTTTAATTGATCTAACGTATCTGCTCCACCGAGAAAGTCATCCACATAAAAACACGATTTTATGGCTTCAGCTCCAATTTGATGTGAACTTGTATGTTGATCGGCGAGGTGAGACAGGCTGCGAATTGCTAGATACGGCGCTGATGCGGTGCCGTAGGTAACGGTGTTCAGCTGGTATGTGCGAATCTCCTGGTCGATGTGGCTTCTCCATAGGATGTACTGAAATTTACGATGCGCTGGGTCGATTAATACCTGCCGGTACATCTTGACGACGTCAGCAGTTATTACATAACGATGAGTCCGGAACCTTAGTAAGAGTGTGAACAAGTCTGGTTGAATCGTGGGTCCAACTAGAAGGATGTCGTTTAGGGACTTGTAGGTGCTTGTCGGGCACGAGGCGTCAAAGACTACCCGTAGTTTCGTTGACCTGCTGTTGAGCTTAAACACGCAGTGGTGTGGTATGTAGTAGTGGGGTTCGTTGAGGAGTGGACTGGTTACTAATTCCATGTGACCCAAGCGCTCATATTCATCCATGAATTTTGTGTATTCGGCTCGCAAATTCGCGTTTCGGCTTAAACGACGTTCCAACGATGCAAATCTTAGCCGTGCTGTTTCAAGAGACCTCCCCAACAGATTAGGGTCATCCTTAAAAGGCAGTTGAACCATCAGTCTTCCATCCGCTACTTGACAGACAGATTTTTGGAAGATCGATTCGCATTTAGCTTGCGCTGGAGTAAGTGTTAATGGCGTAGTAGAAATTTCCTCTATGCGCCATAAGCGCTCCAAGTTCAGGTTTATTGAATCCTCTGATGAAAGGAAACTGTGGGCTTGGGCGGCATGGCCTTGATTGCCAGTGCGCCCTGATACTACCCATCCAAAGATCGTCTTTTGCAACATGGGGAGATGGGGGCCCAACTTAATTTGGCCAATAGACAAAGCGGTGAAGAACGTTTCCGTGCCAAGAAGTAGGTCGATATGGCGAGACTGATAAAATTTCTCATCAGCCAGTGGAGCGTTGTCTGGGAGGTTCCATGTTGAAATGTCGATTACTGCATCAGGTTGATAGGCGATTCTCGAGGTTATACAGCATTCGACGGGTAACTCTGCATTACCGAATCGTGACTTGAGAACGGTCGAAGTGCGATGCTTGATGCGGGTGAAAGAATCGCCGATGCTTCGAATGTCGATGTGTCCCTTGCTTCGGGGCAAACGAAGTTGTTGAGCGAAGTCTTCGGACATGAAGTTAACTTGGGAGCACGAGTCCAGTAGGGCACGTCCTGGTACGTAGTTGCCCACAGCATCCTGCACTAGGATTATGGCTGTAGCCAGAATGACTTGGTCGTGGTGGGTATCCACGTGTGCGTGAGTGACGGCCTCAGCGACATGGTGCTGAGGTGGCGCGTTAGGCGGACTTGACCGTCGAGGACGCCTTGATTCCTGTCCTGACGGATCGAAGTGAAGCATAGTGTGTTGCAGCCGGGAGCATATGATGAGCCTTTCCTAGGCAGTTTGTGCACAGCGATTTTGTCCGGACAGCTTCTAGGCGTTCGGCAGGCGTCATGTTTTGAAGTCGCGGACATCTGAAAATCCGATGATCCCTGCCGGAGCATATAGGACATGTTTGCGTGGAGCACGTAAAGCTGTGGCCCATGCGTGGAGCTTGCGGTTGCCGCATTCTGCCAGATGTATTTTGAACCGTATTCGTATTGCCGAAGTGATGTATTGAGGACTCCAAGTGTTGACAGTGCCGCTCAATCAAGGTTAAGCAGGCATTCCACGCGGGTAATGTGGCGAACGTGAGAGATTCATTCCAGAGCTGTCGAGTTCTCTTGTCTACCTTTTCCATGACAATAGTAATTAACATCGCTTGAGCTATCTGCGCTTCGGATCCTAAAGATCGCATCGAGTTGAACAACGCTGATGCGTTGTCAACCAGGCTGCGCAACTGTACACTATTTTCAGTGGTCACAGTTGGCAATTTGAAGAGTGACGCTATGTTGACCAGGAATACGATGGTGGGGTTATCGTACCTGCTCTTTAGGCGAAGTAAGGCCTTGGTGTAATTCTCTGGAGTGACTTGAAACGCCTTGATGGTTTCTAAGGCGGCGGCTCTGAGACAGTTTATGAGGTGATTAAACTTCTCGATCGACGATAGTGCTTCCTGCTGGCCTACAACTTGCTGGAAGGTAGTAATAAAGTTGTTGTATTCCGAGTACTCGCCAGCAAAGGTCGGGAGCGCAAGAGTTGGCAGCTTGAGAGATGATGGTGGTCCAGGCCTGAGGAGCGTGTCGTGGGCAAGCGGCGTAGAATTGTGCACGTCGTCTCCAAGCTGATCCTTTATGGTGACCTTTATAGCGATGAACATATCTTCCAGCTCGGCCCGGTAGTTTAGCTGTTCCTCTGTTGAGTCGAGTGCCTCGATTTCGGTTTGGACGGCCATGATTTGTTTAAAATATGCCTCCAAAATAGTTTGCCGACACGTGAGTTCGGCTGGCGTCAGCGCGGAATTTGGCTTCTCAACCTTTTCCGTCTTGGCGACTGCTGTTCCAATGCGGAAAATGCTCCTGCGTATGTTGGTTCGCTTCTGTTTTTATACGTCTAGCGGTGTGGGACACATGGTTATTGTGGATCACTTGCAATCAGCCCTTGTATTATAAATTAGAGCTTCTGGTGTGTGGTTATAAACGTATGCTGCCAACTTATGTAGTTGAATGTCTAGCCACGCTCTGGTTCCGTAATGAACCAGTTCCAGGTTGGTGCGTTGCGCGGTGACTGCTATTGGCACTCGTGGTGACTGTATGCGTGTACAGTGGACTTGCAGGTTAAAACCGAAAGCACTGCAGTGACGGCGGAATGAGACCAAAGGAGACTCAGCGATTGGAGTGAGCGCTCTGGCGGCGTTGGCACCGATGACGTAACCTTACCGTTGTGGCGTTACGTCGTCCAGCGAAACGGTTTTCCAGGTTAGAGATGATATTGTCGACAGGGCGATGGAGATTCGGCTCCGCAATCGAGAATATAGGTGGCGTAGCTGATTGGGAACAGCGTAGCGTAATCCAGATCTTCTGAACAACCCGCGCCTTCCAACGATGGTGTATGGGGGGTGTACTGCCTTGTCTACGGATGCAAGTGTGCGTGTGTCGTTAGGTGAACGGCCAGCAGCGTGGCACTTATGAAGTAGCGCGATTCGTAACGTAACAATGCGCGGCTACGAAATTAACTTTGGGCGATCGGGTTGATTTGAACACTAAGGATTTTTAATTTTTTAAATTAACTATCCAGCCCCACGTTGGGCGCCAAAATGTTTGATGGAGCAGGAGCGTTTTCCTGACCCACATGAGACTCTAGGGAGTCGGGGGGATAGTTAAGTTAGTGAAGCAAATACAACCGTCTTGTCGCAGTACCAAAATTGAACTCTTTATTCTAACGTCGTATAATAGCCTTCGTGGCCAGTGTGGTGAATTACATGAGAGCGTGAACTAAAGCTTTACCACTGAGAGCGCAGCTCAGGTTAACAAATTAGATCAATACACTTCAAGAAAGATCAATACTTCAAAATTACATTCATGTTTATCTCGAGATTCAATAGTGGCCCAACACATATTTTCAATGAGAGGGTACTTTTTAAAAATTCACGTTTTTTGGCAAACTAAAAAAAATTCTTTAAAAAAAATACTTTTTTTTCGGCCAAATCCTGATACACGTGTTTACTTATTTTCCAAATAGTACACGTAAAAAAAGTTTCAGGCAAATCAAAAATGTGAAATTTTCTTTTTGGCCAAATCCGTTCGGTTTTTAAAAGAACCGCCCATATAATGATTACGGTCCCTGGTAAAATAACATTCTGAGCAGTCGGTTCCAAGCAATTTTTTATTGACCAAAAACTTTTTTCAAGGTAAATTTAGAAAATTTTTTTTAAATAATTATTTGCCTAGAATCGAATATCCAGTTTAAAATTTTATAGGTATCCGACATTTACTTTTAAGAAAAAACCGTCAAACATTTGGAGCCAATGACGAGGGAGAAGAGTGCATGTTGACTAAGTGTGTAAGTTATATTAAGAACTAGCAGGGTCTGTAGCCCGCAGCTTCGCCTGCGGAAATTAAAACTGAAAATTATGCATTCCTTTATATTTGCTACTTATTTTAAATTTAAAAGTTCCTTATTTTTAGCCTATAGCCGAGAAAAGATTTTATCATAACTTTTTTCTTATTTTCCGCAAAAACAACAGTATATTGAACTATGCACGCTACTTAAAATATATTGCTTGGTCGTATTGCTTGCGTAAGTTATCAGCTGCACAGAACAGAAACAAATTAATTTTTCGACACAAATCCTTACACTAATTTTCTATACAACATAAGTACTTTGTCCAAAACATATTGTTTAAATATAGAATTTCATACTGGGTTAAGCATGTAATTAAATTTCAAATCGATTAGCGTGTAAATCTTGAAAATAAGCTTATATTAAAAATACACCAAAACATTGCTTAAACATATCTCTTTCTCTAACTCTTATAAGGGAAACCAATATTTATGCAAAGCAATGTTTTGCTTTATATATTCGACTAATTTAAGAAAAGACATCAAGAAAGGCAATTCCATATTACTGCATTTTACTATTGATATTTTGTTTAAGTATTTTTGTTTTCACATTAATTTTTCACCTTGATTAGAATTATATTAATAACTAGCAGGGTCGGTAGCCCGCAGCTTTATAAGGGAAACCAATATTTATGCGAAGCAATGTTTTGCTTTATATATTCGACTAATTTAAGAAAAGACATCAAGAAAGGCAATTCCATATTACTGCATTTTACTATTGATATTTTGTTTTAGTATTTTTGTTTTCACATTAATTTTTCACCTTGATTAGAATTATATTAATAACTAGCAGGGTCGGTAGCCCGCAGCTTCGCCTGCGGAAATTAAAACTGAATATTATATATATATTATTATACCTTATATATTATTATACCTTTATATTTGCTACTTATTTTAAATTTAAAAATTCCTTATTATACCCTTGTAGAGGGTATTATAATTTCAGTCAGATGTTTGCAACGCAGTGAAGGAGACGTTTCCGACCACATAAAGTATATATATTCTTGATCAGCACCAATAGCCGAGTCTATCTAGCCATGTCCGTCTGTCCGTCTGTCCATCTGTCCGTCTGTTCGTTTCTATGCGAACTAGTCTCTCAGTTTTTAAGCTATCGCGATGAAACTTTCTCAAAAGTCTTCTTTCTATTGCAGGTAGTACATATGTCGGAGCGAGCCGGATCGGACCACTATATCTTAAGGCTCCCATAGGAATATTCATAGAAATATAAGAAAATTCATTGTAACTTTGTATGAAGTAGGCGTTTTGATTCTTGACTACTTAAAAACAACATTTAAATAAATAGAAACGCTGAATCTGGAATCCCTGGAACTGCACCCAGTGAGCATTCTTTTATCTGCAAGGGTATATAAGCTTCGGCTGGCCGAAGGTAGCTTCCATTCTTGTTTTTAGTCATAACTTTTTTTTTTCTTATTTTCCGCAAAAACAACAAAAACAACGCACATATCTAGGGATTGTGTTTGTAAAAAACTCATTTGTGGCTTTTATATATTTCGTCCATGTGTGTGTGCAACGGAGCGAAATAATGTTTTTTACAAATCAACAATTAGTCTTTTGCTGATCAGTTTTTTGCATTATAAAAATAAAAGCAATTTGAACTGTAAAATTCATCTTAATGGGATTTCTGTAAGGTCTACCGATATTCAAAAATTTAACGTTTACTTAAGAAAAAGGCGCAAAAGAAAAGATTTGCGTTTTTAACTATTTTTTAACCGCGCATTTAAATGGCAAAAGAAAAAATTAAAAAAAAAAACAAATCGATTTTTGGGGCACTTTGGGGTCGTTTTTTGTTTTAATCTTTACGTCACACTCTGCGCGTAATTATTTCCGAATTAATTGGATTTTTCTAGATTTTTAGGTCAATCCGTTCTGGGTGGAATTTGCTACTGACCAAATTTTATCCCTTCAATTCTATTAGATTAGAGATTCCAGCTAATAAAAACTTTTATATTATTTACACTAGCTTATGCAGTTATTCCACGACGTTGTTTGGCTCATTCATTAGAGGCTTAGAAAGGGACAAATATTTATGAGTTTTTTTGGATTTGTTTGGATAAGACGGCTTGGTCACTTGGAATTTAAACGTTAAATTAAAAGTTTTTAAAGCAATTAACTTTAACTGGTTAAATTATTAAGGTTAAAAACTGTGGAATTAATAGTGTGTATTGCCATGAGGTCAGACACTTTTACCACGTTTTTAAAAGCAAAATTTTACTTTTCAGATTCAATTTTGCTAATTGCTCATCGGTCCAGGTAGTACCGTAGGAAAATAATATTAAATACCAAAAAAAAAAAACCAAAAGTGGCCATCGGCTTTAACAATTTTGCTCATTGATTGCTCATTGCTGCCGACATATATCTGCCTCGCTCGCACCTACGTAAAATCGTTTAAGCTGAGAAAAAATTGCTCTAATGAATGAGCCGAACAATGTAGTGGAATAACCGCATTACAGCAAAAAAAGATATATCTTGGGACCAATTTCGTTTAAAGCCTAGTACTCAGTACGACGAAAACTGCTAGCTAAGCATAGGAGTAAGAGAGAGGCAAATAGGTAGCTAAAGCCTTTTGCTGGGACTTTTTTCCACCGCGGTACTCAGTTGAGCTAAGGATTTAGTAAGGAAATACCAAAAAAAAAACTAGATTTAGCGGATGAATTCCGATTATTGGCTTTAGCCGCGGCCCAAAGAATAAAAAATTTTATCTTTGGCTGTGTTTGTGCAGAATCGGTGTGCCAATAACAATTTATAAATGGAAGGAAAACCACAAAAACCAATGGAAAACTGCCTGTAGGAGTTGCTGAAATACATATCGCCATTCCAACAGCGAATTTAAAGCTTGCGACCCAGGTCGGCTCAACGTTTTGTAATAGTTTAAAATTGGCGCCAGTTGATTTGTTTGCTGAGAGTAAGACCATGCTACATGCATTGCGGATGAACTCCGAAAACTTCGGTCACACTAAAAGATTACTATTTTTCGACTAGTAAAATTCTTAGCCGAACTGAGTACTAGGCTTTAGTTCGCATCTTTGTCCACAGTAAAAATGCGATACAATGTTGGACAGCATCCAGAATGCATTCTAGATTCAACCTAAGACATCACTCCCCTATAGCTTCTTTTAGAAGGCAAAATGGGTGCGGTCCGTTCAATCGTAGCTTCTCTTACGTCGTAGCCGAACCCTTGCCGAGACCCGAACGCTTGCCAATCGTTCGTTTTTTTTTTTCAATCGGTGCATTATAGCTTTTATCGGAATGCATTAATTGGCATGGAAATTATGAAATGATAATCTTTTAAACGGTGGTCTTGAAAAACAAATGA